TATTGAAAGTCCACTGATTGGTTGAGCCCTCATTTGCTAAATCTTCAGTTTCCTTTTTTTCATCCCTTAGAAACTGATCTATACTCCAAATTGCTGTAAATGCAATTAGCATTTTACATTAATGCTTTTTTAAAAAATCCCTTCTAATTAGCCTTTGTATCAGCACATTATTAGCTGAACATGGCAGCATCTGTGGTTTTTTAAGATAAGAGTAAAACAAGTTCAAGATTTGGTGGTGGCGTTTATATAGATGTTTCTGTTGGTGCTGATTAAAATTGCTAAACTGTAGTAGTAAAATCTTGCTAATGCTGCCCCTATGAAGAACTGCAACAGCCTCACCATGGGAGTGCCCAACCTTTGTTTTGGTTATTCTTGATATCTCAAGGTGTATTTGTTTATAAGCTTGAAGTCTGAAGGAATAGCTGTTCAAGTCAGTCTGCACTTCCATGCACTAAGCCAGTTTTTTAAAAAATTGTTGTTTTAGGAAAAAAGACTGCAGTCTGGCTTATGAATATTCTGGTAATGGAGTCCTTTCTTTGGGGCTAGAAAGCTATGCCAAGCAAGTTCTCCCTCCTCTTCCTAACCTCATTGTGCTGATGAAGATGATTTGGGGGATACATGAGGAAATTTTGTTACACTATTCGCCATTTCATGAAGATAAAATTTGGGAAAGTGCTAGACACAGAAATGGGAAGATCATCTTCAGTTTAGCTTACAACAGCAACTCGGGGTTTGAATTGTTTTCAAGGGCAAGCCTTATCCAAGCAACTATAGCTTTATTCTTTTGGTAGAACCCAAAATTATTAAACTGCCCTTAGATGATGTTCCAAGAATTATCTACTAATTATGCAGGCTGCACGATGTACATAGAAGTAGAAGGAAGAACCCGAGATTTCATTTTGTTTTTCTTACCTGAAGTTTGGGGAAAACAGGCTACACCCTCTATGTGTGCAATAACCTCTCCAATTTGATGTCTTCCAGATGTCTTCGGCTGAAATTTTCACTGCTGTTATGTACCACTGCAGTCAGTGCACATAAGCAGCATACAATGCCCACACACACACACACACACACAAAAAAAAAACCTTGGCAATAGCACAGATTAGAGTATCTGAGTTGTATTCCCTCCCTCCAGGATACTGAATACTAAAAGAACTTAAATGCACTCAATTCATTGCAGATATGCAGTATCTAAGATACATCTCAAAAACCTCCGCTGAGCAGAATTTAAATTGATTGCAGCAAACGCCTTTGCTCTAATTAAGAAGGAATATTAAACCAGAAATTAGAAACAGCTGTTCTTTCTAGTTTGTCTGTTGCTCAGCCACATCTACTTTTGTCTAGCACAACGTAACACAGTTTTATCTACCAGTTTCATCAAGCACAGTGTAACACCACCTGACTTGTACAAGTTCCATTGGCTTTTCCATGTTTGATATTGCTGCAATGTGACTCAAGGTCAGATATTTCTGTGATTATTACAAATGATTATATCTAGCAAGACATGTTCCTTTAAAAAGTGATTAATATTTTATACATGAAACTCCTGACAGTGATGTGTGTGGACATTTATGGGATTACATAATGGTGAAATGGAGATATAAATGATGTATGACAACTGCATTCTGAGTAGTAAGTGGGAACCGCATACTCCATGCTGGAACCAGGCTTAAGATGTATATAATTTAATGACTAACATTTTCCACGTTTATGTTTGATTTCTTTTTATTCTGATGCTTTGTAATAGATTTTTCTTGGGGGAGGGGTGTAAATGTGAAACATACATTTGTGCATGGATGATGCTTGTGAATATGATAAACAAATGCTCTTATAGTTATACTTGCTGAGGAGAAATGTGAACTCAATGGATGTCCATTTGCTTCTATGAAACACGTTGCAAAAGTTAAATTATAATAAGGAGAGCCCAATAGTCTAACCATACCTTGCTCTTGTCGAGGAACTAAAAATAAGCCTGGCCCATATTTACTTTTCTTACCGTCCCCACCATTACAGATACTCTTTGCATTACTTTTAATGCTCCGTTTGCATTAGCAACATTAAAGACATGTAAGACATGCCGTTGGATTTATTGTTATTATTTTTTTATTGAACCCTGGTTAATGCTAAACTGCTTAGCAGCAATTAGACATGTGATCTCTAAGAACACAGGCAACAAGTAGCAGACTGGATGGTCTGTCCATTCCAGCAATAAGAACAGAGAAGATTGGGAGAGAGAGAGATACCGACAACAGAGAATTCAACTTTTACTAACAGATGACATCAGAACTAGTCACCGATTAGAATAGAAAAGAGGGCAGGAGAATCTAATGGTCTGAAACAATCTGCAGGGCAACTGTGCCCCATACTACACAGTAGCAATTTATTCCAGCACCTCTTTTACTGAAGATGAGCAATACAACCTTAAATAAATCAACAATTGCTTATTGCTTAATATTTGGGATTATAGAATCTTTAGTTTATCAGTACCTTATGGCCTTCCACTCTGCATTCTATGTACAATTCCGTTACAATACATTCTTTTTGGATCAATAAATTATTTCTTTTTAAAGAAAGAAATAAAAAAGGATACATTACAATTGTGAAAGGGGGAAAGGGATAACCAAACATATTTGACATATATCTTAAAATAAAATGATGACTTTTTTTCTTCCAAACATCTAAATATAAATAATAAGGAACATTGTGTTATTTACACTGTTATATTGGATATATAACTCATAAAGACAATAAATGATTGTGATGGAACATCCAAGTATGTACAAGATGTATTTACAAAAATAATATATACTTAAAATGATATGTGGCCATTGCATTTCCTGCATTTCTCTGCAGCATTTCAGATTGGTTGAGCATCAGCCATTGTGGCTATGAAAAATTCAGCCAGTGCTAAAAAAGCTGAAAGCAGACTCTGCTTATGTCGCTTATTAAAGATGTGCAATTTAGACAGACATCCACACATCTTGCTGAAAATTCAAGTAGCCACCCCTTACTTTGATATCAACCATGAAAAATATGGACATGATACTTCAACTTTAAAAAAGAACTATACATTATTAGTTGTCCATTAGCCACTAATTGTGGCTCACATGGCTTAGCTTACAAAGGAACAAGATTGTTGGCTGATGAAAATGTATATGTGCAGAGACTCAGGATACCCTGTTCTATGTATGCAGTGTCCAATCTAGAACTTTAAATGGTGTATTTTTTTAAGATGCCAAACTATTTATTATGAGATGTCTGAACTGAACTCGAGCATCAGCTACATTCATAAGAGCATTTTTTTATTCTGACTGCTGTTTCACTTGACATAACATTTTGTTTTCCAAATTAAAGATTAAATAGAAGTGAGTAGAGATACCACGCTCAATACATTTATGGAATAAAGTTTGAATGCATAAAACAAAATTGCCCTGAGAATTGAAATTGCCTTTCAATCGTATTTTTTTTTACTACATTGGATATTTCTACATAAAGTTTTGTTTTATGAAAGGGGAGTTGTTGAGAGGAATGGCTTGTAACCCATTCTTGCTTATAACCCATAGCTGTTCTTCATACTACTACTGAGGTTAACACTTATCTGTCATGGATGCAGCATTGATTTATAACCGTAAATGCACTGTCCACAGCTTAATTATCTAGATGGAATGTTCTTATTGTCCAAAACCAACTCTTAACACAATTCATTCAATTGTGCATTACAAAGTGATGAGAAATCAAGCAATATTCATGCACAAACTAATCTGGACACATCAATTAACAGAGTAAGATATTAAGCTAAGTGGCACAGTAGTGTTACCCATTACAACAGGGCATGCATAGTTTCATTATGGACTGAGGGTTGCATTGGCTGGAGCGGCCAGCTCAAGTTACCCTACCCAAAGTCTGAAAGGACCCAGCATAAAATAAAGAATTAGGACTGGAGCAAAAATTCAAGTTGATTTAATTTAAATTTAAGTTTAGCTGAATGAATTTAAATGCAGTTACATGATTTCTCCCCATTAATTTAATTGCGTTTCTCTTCTGGTAGAATCATAACTGGTTTAGAGCCATTTTTCAAGATACGTGCAATCCTGATCAGTGCATCTTCTTTAAAGCCATATTACATCAATTTAAACTCTCTCCCTTGCCCACATTAGTCGTTTTCCCGTGTTTTAAAAGGCAGTATTGTAATCAAAGGAACTACCCTTGCCTATGCCTATGAAGTCACCAGGAGTTAGGTTCCGCTCAAAGAAAACATCTAGTAAGGACTCATGGCCAGGCAACAGGCTCAAATGCAAGAAGAGTCTAGCAGTGCTTTCTTCCCAGTCCACTAGCTCAGAGTGAGATTCAGCAGCACAGAATAACAAGGCAATCAAAATGCATGGATTTTCTCTCCCCAGGTTCCTCTGGAGATCCCACCTTCAATACTGCAAGAAAGGTTTTGGGAATGATGAAGCGCATCCAAAATGCAGGAAGATCAGGTTGATGCACCTATCAGTTTTGTATTGGTTACAGTTTTGAATTGGCAAGCACAGAAAGGAGAACATGAGACAGTCCCGAATAGGCATGTTTTAGCTTCGGAATAATGAATATAAAAGACAGTAAATGAGGTCATAGGGACATTAATGTGGTGGAAGTATTGTCTGTCCTGGCAGGAATAGAATGGATTAATGTATTTAAAATAAAGAAATGTGTGCAGAAGACTATTGGAAGAACATAAGACTGGTGAAATGTCCACTCTCCAAAATGCTTTTTAATCTAAACCAGCGGTTCTCAACCTATGGGTCGTGACCCCATTTGGGGTCGATCGACCATTTCATGGGGGTTGCCAAGCAAGGCTGTCCACCATTTTCCCCCCCTTTTCCGGTGGGTGCCTTACCTCCCTTGGACTGGGCCAGCTGGTGGCCCAGCCGGTGGTCGGCCTGCTCTGTCTCTGCCACTTGCCAGCTATGCCTTGGCCGGCGCAGGGGGCGGCACCACGCATGCGTGGTGCTCCCAGACAAAGTCCTCGACTTACGACCAGTTGGGTAGTCCTCGACTTATGACCGGTTTAGTCCTCGACTTACGACCGGTTGGGGGTTGCGGCATTAAAAAGGTTGAGAACCACTGATCTAAACCATGTAGCATAGAGTCGGAATAACCTTCCTGAAGTCTGAAATTATTTGTTTTCTTTTATATTGGAGCCCCAATATACCCTATCAATTATACTACATGAAATATGTACATGCCTGTTTTCACTATTTTCCCCCATACAGCCTACACAATAGCCTTAGTGCATCTGAAACAATAGAAAAGTGAAGAAATGTTACTGGAAGAAGTATGCATATTAACAGCAGAATCCTCATTCAATGTCAAGGATTGGTAACATTCTGGAAAACTTTCTCTGGTTTGTTCAACTTTATGCTTAAGAAACAATGTCCCTGCTTTGGCATCTTAGCCAAAGAGTTCCTACAAAATATCAGAGTTTGGGAAAAGGGTTTATGATATTTGGAAAAATTTTAGAAATAAGAACCTCCTAGAGCAGGGGTGCCCAACCTTGTTAACCTTGAGACCTGTGCACTTCAACTCCCAGAATTCCCCAGTCAATCATGCTGGCTTGGGAATTCTGGGAGCTGAGGTCCACAAGTCGTAAAGTTGCTAAGGTTGGACACCCCTGCTTCAGGGGGTTCTTTGGCAATGCAGAAAAAAACACACTTTGTCAATAGAGAAAGGGAATGCAATTGAAGCCTGTTAAGTGAATATTAGGAAAGACATATAAAGTTATGAATCAGAACTGAATATTCAACAGATTGCTTCAATACCCACTTGGAGTCAATATAATGATTTGGAAACTCGCAGTGAACCAATGTTACATAACAGGAATGTGTTTTACTGGTGCTTCTGAAATGTATCACTTTATATAGCGATTCTAACCAGGGCTATGCAGAAGTCTACTCTACTGTATAATTATCTTCCGATACATAGGACTAGAATTGCCCTGTTAGCCTTCAGTAACCAAGTTAACATTCTCCAGATTAGGCCTTCTGTGAAGTAAATTTGAGCACTGGGCATGATTTTTTTTTTATATAAAAGATTTTTTTTTCTCACTGATTCCCCCAAAGCTCAGCAGCATTTATACAAACCACTTTGCTTTTTATTCACAACAGTATCAACAGGACATGATTGCCAACGCTAGGAAGGCTAAGAGTACAGTTTTGTTAGTCTTTGGCCTCTGGGCTGCGCTCTATAGTGTGATATCAATCAAGGCTAATTTTGTCCCAGATTCAGGTCTCCAAAATAAATTACTGGCTTGTGAATTAAGAAGCTGCAGTAATGTTGCTGCTGGTGCCAAATTAAATACCAGACCTGTTTGTTTGAACTTAGTCTGCCCAAATGATGCATAAAGCAGAGCAAGAGGTTACATATTTGAGGGAGAAAATCATAGCATGGATGATTACTTTGTTCCTATCTGCAGCTCAGCACTCTGTATCTCCCTTCTCCTGTTCCCCTCCGCCGAGGAATTCATTTTACTTAGACAAGCTTCCTTCACCTGCCTTGATGTTTTTGCTCTAGAAACAGAACCCCTTGTAAGGGATTGGGCCAAACTGGAGTTTAAACAAATGCATTTGCTCTTATCATGTCCAAATTGTTTCTCCAACATGCCTCGAAGAAAGACAGCTTCTACCTATTTCTGGCCGCATGCATAAATATATTTATATAACAAAACCCATGCATGACGGGAGCCTGAGAAGTATAAACATGCTCGTCTTACTAATACGTAGGTTAAAAAACATAATAGGTCACTAGGCCTACAGAACATGTTTACCCTTTTCTATTAGAGCTCATTTTACCACATTTGGATTCCATTCATGTGTAAACTAGAAAATTTAAGCACGCAGGAAGTGATAATCCGCTGCGAAATCATAGTTTTTGCTCTCGATTGTCCCGATCTAAAATGGGGAAAAAAAAGAGTGCTCTACCTGAAAATTTTTGTTTCAAAGTGACTTTAATTTAAGCAGTGGGTATTACATTTCCTCTGCTTTTCTCCACTTCCTTGATGGTCTAAAAATGCCTGCCGTGGTACTTCGATTTACTTAACCCAGGATAATCCAGTAGCAGTTTCTCCCATACAAAGGACATGAAAACAAGAAACTCCTTTTTCTTGGATCCATCCTATTAATTTAAAAGATGCTTGCATAGGACTTCCTACTAGATTGGATCCCACTATGTTTCTGTCAAACCATTTGTGAACATCTAGGAAATATTGTTACGTAAATCAAAACTATGTGCGTGCACGTCCATGTGTGTCTCAGTGAAAAGGTTGTGGGTGGTAGCAATGATAGCTCCCTATTTAAATTCAAGTAGATTCTTGGGTAATTATATTCAAATGGACAAACCTACAGTGGTACCTAATATTGGATATAGTTCTATGTTTCTGAAAGCTGTATTATCCTTAAAAAAAAAAAACCAGGACAATGGCAGGCTGTTGGACCTGCCCATTTTCTCAAGGGTTCCAAAATAAATCTTGTTTTTGTCAGAGAACAATTCATAAAAACGCAAGGAAATATAGAAGCCTCTTCAAAGAAGAAATGAGCATGTTTTGTTTTTAGGTTGGTATGCCAGTAGGGATTTTTCTTTGTCTTTTATCAGAGCTACGACAAGCAACACAGGGACGGTTGCAATTCTTACAGACCGTACAGCCAGTTGCCATGAATCCGATGGGAAACAGACTATTAGAGACTTCTGCGAAATACTGTGGAACAGCAGTCACTAGGAACTTTTACAAAACTTGCTCTCAACATAACATAAAGGCACCGTTGATATCGTTCTCATTTTTGAAATACTGTAAAAAAATTGCTACATATGGCACATAACACTTTTGTATATACATTATATATTTAATTTATAAAAGTTTTTTTTTCCCCTCCTGGGTTTTCTTTTTTAAATCCTAATAGCGTAATTGCTAAAATAAAATAAATTGTTTTAATTTAATCATGGAGTATTTCATTATATAAAATAAAGTTTTACATGTGAATCTATGTGGGTTTTTTTAAAGTGTTTTCCCCCCTTCCTTTATACAGCGATGGGATCCTGGTTAGCTATTACACTGGACAATCTTGCTTGATATTCTTCCTGTGTTGAGAAGCGGCTGGCTTGGTTAGTCCTAGTGTCAGTGAGCCTATATGCAGCAGCTGATTCTAGGTCAGTGGTTGTAGGGTTTTGTATGCTCAGAAAAGGTGTGTCTTCACCTATCCTTTCGTCTTCTGTCTCACTCTCTGAGCTACTGTTCTCACAACTCGTGTCAGTGTTCATTTCCAATCGAGTGGAAATGTGGCCATTGGGCTTTGTTCTTTTGGCCCTTCGACTGTTGACTAATTTCTTTGGAGGCTCCTGTGTAGGTTCATATTCCTGCGTGGTTTCATACTCCTCGTCCTCTACTATCCTCAGGGGACTCGGTGGTAGACTGTTGCTTTCATGGACAGGATTGTGGTGGTAAGAAGAATTGAACTGTTGTAAGTGAAGCTCGTATTTTTCCCGCAGCCTGGGTGGGGTCACCAGCAGGAGAGGCCTCTCTTCTTCTATAAATGGACTGACAGCTACAGATGGGACAGACATTGTTAAACTGGAGACTTGTGGAGACATTTCTGAAGCTGGTGATTTTGGAGAACTTGGAGTGTGGAAATCTACAGGAGACATGCGAGCTGGCGTGGTCATGGCAGATACGTACCTAAAGAAGTACACATAAAAAAATAAATAAGCTGAAGAATAAGAATAAGGATATGATAGAACTATGACGGTGATAAGAAGTATTCATTTTTCTATGACAGCAATAAGTATTTGAATTCAAACAAAACAGCCACACATTCTATAAGTAGAGATGCAACTTCTACAAATAGCTACTAGGTGCTGAAATTTAACTTTAAATTTCTGGGCTGAAATAACATTAAATGATCACTTATTCACTTCTCTTGATTTCCAACATGTAAATCCAGTGCCTGAAAAGATGGAATATTGGCAATACAACTCAGTTTAATCTATAATTTATTCCAGCCTTGGAGTCTCTTGAGATTTCTAAAAATATAACAGGGCTTCTGTTACTAGCGATGCAGAGATTAAAACAAAAAACAAAAAAAATAGTGTTTGTATCTTTTTCCTTCTTCATTGTCTTTTAAAAAAGATTTCCATCTTACTGCAAGCAACTATACTGAATGCATCTATCCAAAATTTAGGATTAAGAAAGACTACATGAACATTTGGGAATAAGACACAAAGCCAAGAAGACTTTGGATGTTCTTCAGCACTTCTTGTTTTGGTCCTCTTCAATGTCAACATGCAAAATTCAAATACTTTCATTTCCCTAATTTTCATTCACTTTTCCAGGTTTTGTAGCTATTAAAAAAAAACCCGGGATGAAATACAGATAATAAAAGCTACTCTAGAGAATTAAACATTTAAACTTTAATGCTCACAGAATTAATGGCCTGGAAATGCAAATAACTAGAAAGGAATTGTGCAATTTTATACTTTAAAAATTGGTCCAAAAGCAAATGTAAGTATTGTAGAGCAACAGGACTCCACCTTTCAGACTGCTTCTATTACAAAGTAGCCAAACAGTACCAGTGGCATTGAGGAGAGAATGACTTACTTACATTTATTTATTCATTTGTTATTTTTGCATTCTATTTTCTGTGCTACTGTACCTCATCAACTAGGAATCAGTGAAAGCACAGATCAGCTTGGCTTTTCAGAAAGGAAACAAGATGATGCAATTAGGTGAAGGAATTAGCCAATTCAAACAAACATTCTCCACAATCCAGTTATCTCTTAATTTTATCAGAAATTAATAGTGTGCAAAACTAGTATTCAGTAAATATGTGAAGACTATACTGATTTATGGATTCTGGTATTGTCCCAAATAGTAGAGTTTTGTTCACCTTCTCGTTTTATTTTGAAAGGAAGAGCTGCTTTTAGCTTGCCTATCAGTTCAGTACAAGATATGAATAGCTGATTTTTTTTAAAAAAATCTTATTAAATGGAAAAGAGTGCAACTTCACTTAGCGCTGCCTTTTAAATATTCACCTTCAGTTCTTGTCTAGTTATATTGCTCTTGTGGTTGCTTCTCCACTCAAAACTGTATTTCCCCCCCACACTTCTAATATAAATCACATCCATTGATCACCACATGCTGCAGAGGTGAAGATGATTTTGGCCATTTTTTCCATGCAAAACTAAGGATATATTCTAGGATTAAGCAGTGGTGATATAAGTCACAGTTTCCGTACACTGGCACAGTGCTATAAACAGCTTTAAAGAAACTTGGATTAATTGTAAAAACAATGAAGGGAAAAAAACCTATCGCAGAAGCACCAAAACACTATGAAAATGGCAAATTATTATGTAAATATTAATGTACAAAACCTCAGTTTAGAATTTCTTGATCAAAAAATAATAATCCCAAAATAAAACCCACCAACCCTGATTAAGGTTTCAAGCTGCCGTTCTCTCTCTGTCAGAATCTGGATATGCCCTACAGTATTTCAGATGGGTATCCTTCTTAAGGTCAGCTCATATGGATACCTTTCACTGTGCGGTGAATCACGGTAAGAGTCTGGTGTCTCTCGTGCGTGCCGGAGAAAACTGTTGTATTCTCTTGGTCCAGCAATGCCGTTGAGGCGTCCCCGAGGTCCTGACGGGCTTGCATGGCGGCTGTTCTCAACTGAGGAGCACACAAGGGCCGAATGACTTTCAGAGATTATGCTTTCGGTCCGACCATTACTCCAACTGACCACGAGCCGTTAGGAAAAACAGAAGAGAACATTTTAAAATTCAAGAAGAAGAAAGTGAAAAGAAAGAGAGTCTGACATGGAAAAGTCAGCGTCCTCTAGGTATCGCTTTGGCAATAAGTGTTTTTACATTCATTATGTTACTGAAGAATTGAGGTAATCATTCTCCCCCAACTGTTGGGAATATAAAAAGATAATCACTCAATCTTAAACTAACATCACTTTCAAAATTTTATTGTTATGACATAATGAACAATGTTGGAGAGTAGGATTATTCTATGTCAAGGCAAGCCAAATTATGTACACGAAAGAATAATGATAAGCTCCAGGTAAATTCAGTAACTCATCATGGTCCAAATGTAGTACTAATTCTGTAAGTGCAAGTTAATGGTGTGATATGAAGTCCACAGAAAATAAGGCAGCAATTGTGAAAAGGCGGACTCATATGTTGATACTGAGACTTACTTCTTTTCAAAGGAAAAAATAAATCAGGAAAAAGAATCAAAGAAATAAAGGAAGTTTAATAAAAATAAAGCAAGCAAAATAAAGCAACTTAAAGCATTTCAGCTACAGAAAAAGTCTGTCACCTTTAAATCAAAATACTTCTATTTAGTGTTTTTAAAACTTGCTCTGGAGTTTCAGTTAAAAAATATGTTGGCTTTATCTGAGTCTCCTACCTGTGGCTGGGAGTCTGGGTGACGGTTGTAGAATGATGTGTAGTTGAGGTATAGTGACTTGTAGAAAAAGAGGCCTCAGTTTCTCTCTCAATAGCATGTTCACTGGATATTATGTTTTTAGATACATATTGCTAAACAAAACAGAAACACATATTTATAAGACAATTAAAATCTACCAATCAATTCTGTACTCTTGCCTTATATCAGGGATGTCCAACCTTGATAACTTTAAGACTTATAGACTTCAACTCCCAGAATTCCCCAGCCAGCATGGCTAGCTGGGGACTTCTGGGAGTTGAACTCCACAGATCTTAAAGTAGTCATGGTGGACATCCCTGCTTTATATATACATATGAAAGCATTTCAAAAATTGAAGTTGTATTACTTCTCAAATTAGCTGCCACTTTATTCTCACGAGAAGACACTTTCCTAGAATTAATTCAAATTAAAGTAGATTCATTGGAAACAGTAGTTTATTGTCTCCAGAATTCTTTCACCAAAACAAATCTATTTTAATGGAATTCACGGGTAGGAATAGGACTATTGCCGAGCACCATAGATTGGTAGATTTGTAGATATCGAGTGGTAGATTTCCAATTTCCTTCTTTTTGCTCACTGTATTTTTGCAATCTTAATCTTTGTAATCTTTGGTCTCTGAATTTTAGTGACAGGGAGTTCTCTATGAAATGGATTAGGAATAGGAATAGTATAATTTTTCTGTAATTTTATGAATTAGCCTTTCAAAATATTTAATTTGGCTGTCATCTGATGTCTCTGAAATAATGAAAAGAAATAGTGGACTGCTGGTACTGGTAGTCCTCCACTTACAATAGTTTGTTTAGTGACTGTTCAGAGTTACAAGAGAGGGAATATGCATACTGTATGCATATTTCCTCTGAGAAGGAAACTTCTGAGAATATGTCCTTAGAGCTTTTGTCCTAGCCAACAGACATTAATCCCCTTTAATCTGGCATAGAACAACTTAATCCAAAGGCACAGGCATCTCTTCTTACTTTGCTGGGGAAGTTAATAAACCAGAGGTCCCCAACCTTTTGGGCAACACGGACCAGTTCCGTGGAGAGAGGTTTTTCCGTGGACTGGAGGGTGTGTGGTTTTGTGTGCTGCCTGCATCCCAAGGGTGGGGCTTTGCTTGTCTATGTGGACCGGTTGCTGGCATGCTGTAGCCTGGTACCGGTCCACAGACCAGGGGTTGGGGACCCCTGACCTAAACAATCATAGATATATCGTGAGCCACCCTCAAATATTCCTTCATAGTCATGGATTTTTTTAAAAAAATAAATAAATTTGGGTTGTGGCTCCTGAATGCATTTTGAAATCAAAATAAAACCATGAGTTCTGCTGAAATGAATACAAGAGAACCAACACCAGGAACTGTTCTTTAAGTTAAAACAAGCAAAGATCTGAATTATCTGTTTTTCATATTGAATTTTCTTAAGTGGGAGAAGAGGGTTCACATATTCACTATATCACTAGGATTCATCTGACAGTTTAATAGGTCCAGTTTTGTGAGAAAAAGCTCAGATGTGGTTGATGGCTTACATGCAAAGATTAATTTAGACCCCAAACCAACCAAATAAACAGCAGACTGTACATCCATGGTCCACAGAGAATTGGTAGTGTTCAATATCATTTTAAATTTATATTTATCAGATAGCTAACTGGCAAGGTAACATTACATGTTCATGCCCAGAGTATAAAGCACAACAAAGCTATTTTAGAGAAACATATCCATTACCAACTAAAGGAAAAACCTTAAAAAACAAATCTCAGCAACTATTTCAGCTTTCTTCATTTTTTTAAAAAATAAGAATGGTCCAATTTATAATCTGAAAGTTTAGAGAACCGTCTTATTAGGTCTCTCAGTTGAGTGAAATCTGTGAACTGTGAAGCATCACAAAAATTCTTTTTTTGCTTAAAAAACCACTCTAATTTCGGATGACTTTTCTAGCACATTCATCCTAGCCCATATTTCCCTTTGATATCCTTTCTACCACAACTTGCACACTATCTTCCCTATTTTGCTACAAGAAGGTTCTGAGGACAACTTCATCTGGTTCCTACTTATAGGTTGGAACTAGCACTGCTACAATAGTCAGAAAATTTCTTGTGGCCACAAATGCTTTATGCAGAAAATTACTCCTTTAATCGTTAGTATCCCACAACATAATGTGAAAATCAATTTATACCTCAACTCAGTGAGTAACACCAACAGTGTGTGTGTGTGTGTACACACACACAGGCATATACATGCATGCTCACATAGTACTTACTAAGTGAGCTTTTTAGTACTTTATTCATAAAGTACTTTTATAGTCCTGGTATTAGCTTTTAATGTATTTCTGTTTATTGGTAGTTTTTTCAGTTGTATTATTTGCATTTATAGCATTAGAGTGAACCATTTCTTCTATTTTTATTGATTTTAGAAATAAAATCATACAATTATAAAATTATACAATGCTGTTTTTAATGTAAATTTAATTTAATGTAAATTACAATAGTTTCTTTTGTGGATAATAATTTATTATACTATTAGTTTTTTATCCAGTGTTTTCTACACGTAATTCAAGGTAGTGAACATACTTAATATACTTGCCTCCTATTTTCTCCACAACAAACAAACCACCCCACCATCATCTAAATATCATTTCACACTTGTTCTCAGTTAAATCAGCTACTGCCATTGTTTTGACAAACTGGTGTAGAAGATGAGCAGGCTGAGCCTGAAAGGAGAGGTCAAATGTGTCATCAGTCTTGAGTCCCTTTGGGCTCACAAGAGATCTTAGTCCAGCCCACCTTGACTTCCAGTGACTCTTATCTACCACCAATTTGGTTTGACCATTCGTTTAGATTCTTGCAGAGAGTGTCACCAAGCAATAAACTGTATTCATTTGAACCACCTTGCTTTCTGGTTTCTTGCCCCTTGCAATTAGTGGGAGAATAAGATCTTAGGAAAGCAGTACTATTTTTTAATAAATTAAAAGGACTAAATGTCACTCAAATACATACCGATGAAGAACCGACTATCAACAAAGCTGAGGTGAAACTTACATTCACCAGCTGGACATTCTCTGGCGGTGGGTGGGGATGGTGAGGCCCGTTTGCCATGTTCACCCTGTGATTGCGTTCTGATCGAAGGCCTTGCCTGAGACGGTCATGTAACTTTTTCCGCTGCTTCCTGAATTTGAAATATGGAGGTACTTTTAGTATTCAAATAGTTGAATAAATAAAACAGTTCTACAAGCCTTATTGACCATAGCACATTCCCATTACAGAATGGAATTTTATCATTTGAAAGTTCAGAAATACCAGGAGCTGATGGACACACAGTGTTAAAGTTTGCCAAAGTTATGAGGAGATTTATTCACAAATAAAGTTCCTGATATAATATCTGGCATCCTGAAACTATATCAATCTCATCCAGTAGCCAATTACATCATGGTATCCTATGAAGATGCTACAGAAAGCAGATTGTACTCCAGTGGCTTATGATACAGGTAGCCAAGGGCAGGTTATTAGATCCAGAGGAGTAGGATTTTCTAGGAAAGTAGCTTTTTTGGCCCCTCCTGTGTTTTCTGGCAAAAACAGCACACTGGAAACCTTATTCTCTATGGCTAGGTCTTTGTAATATATCCGGAAGAGGGACCCTTTGGAAGACCTTATTTTGAACTCCCCAGCTAATCTGTTGCCTGCCAGCAACCAATAATTGTACAGCTGTGTGCTGTGTGTTGGTTTTTTTTTATAGTATACCTGCTAGGCTGTTTACTTTTGTCTGAAAAGATATAGGTAATTTTTTTAAGTTCTAAAATAAAAAAAATATTGGAAATAAAATGGTTCTATCCTGCATGGACTCAAAAAATGATCTTGATTCTGAAAGAGGCAGCATTTACTGGCTGAACTTTTTCAACTAATTCATTTATAAAAAATGCTGAATCACTCACTGACCTCTCCTTCCCCATGGATGAGAGAATGTTACATTAGCTGCACATTCAACTGGGCTGAAGATATGTACTTGATATTAGTCCAAACATACAACAATATCCTCTCCACATATTGGTTTTCCTTTCAATAGAGGAAGGAGGAGAAAACCCCTTCTCTTTGACCTATCCAAGACTGGAAATAAGGCCTCCCCACCCACCTAAATGGAGGTGTCTCCATTATCCCCGTGTATGGAAAGGAAAATAACACCCCTCTTTTGCAGAAGACTGAAGATAGCAGGCATCCCTCCTTCAGGGACAAGTTTTTGGAAGAAGAAGAGACAGTATTACCTATTCATCCTGTCATTCAAGAGATAGGAAGTGTATGAGGGAAAAAATCTAATTACTGGGCTAGATTCCTGCTTTAAACCCTCAAACAGAGATAACTGAAGTAGAATCATTTTGATTTTCTCAAATCAGGGGTCAGCAGCATTTTTAAACTTAGTATTATTTAATAATTTTGGCTAAGGTGACATTTGGAAAGTGGTTCTTGTGGGAGGGAAGTGGGATACTTAAAAAAACATAAATAGGCAGTACACAGGCAATCCTCAACTTACAATAGTAATAGTTTGTTTAGTAACCGTTCAAAGTTACAATGGCAATGAAAGAAATGACTTATGACCACTTTTCATATTTATGGCAACAGCAGCATCCATATGGTCACATGATCAAAACTCATGACTCATGTTTATGACAGTTGCAGTGTCCCGGGTCATATGATCCCATTTTGCCACCTTCTGACAAGCAAAGTCATTAGGGAATCCAGATCCACAACAACTGGGTTACTAACTTGACAACTGCAGTACCTCACATAACAACTGTGGCAAGAAAGGTGGTAAAATGGGGCAAACTCACTTAATGAATGTCTCCCTTAGCAACAGAAATCTAGGGCTATGCACTATGGTTCCATGGATTGAATATTGAGGTTTCTTTAAAATTGGATGTGCTGGTTCATCATCAGAGCTAAAAAAGCAAAAGGTCAGGGACTAAAGGGTCAAAGTTCAGGTTAGCTCATTCTTATAGCTTCCTATTATATCTAAGCTAAGCATGTGCCCTTTCTATAAGTGAGAAGATATCACTGTGGCACATACATAACATCTCTCTGCATTTTATTAAAGCATTCAAGGGACTCTAAGAGGAAAATGAAAGATAAACACACCCAATATTTCCACACCTATAATTCATTAAATTAATTGTGGCTTAAATATCACCTTGATTAATACTTTCACTGAATCCACAATTGCCGAAAGTAGTATCAATAGGGAAAGGAAAACATACATAGAAAACTTTGGAAGTCTTAACAGGTTTAATAAAAGTTTTGACTTCTCTCCATTCAGAAGATGGATATATGAAACCATGGGAAAGGTGCCCTGAAGGTTGGGTATGTCTTTTATTATTATTTTTAATGCCATTAAAGTAAATATTATTGCCTGTAAAAATGTATCAGCAATATATTTAGCAATACACAGCTCTGAGCCTGAAACCTTTTTGTCTGAAGAGCTCACTCTGAACAAAAATGTCATGCTTTAATTTGGAAAGATAAACATAATCATAATGATTGTGAAAGAAAACTTTAAAACATTTCCTGAAAGTTGTAAAAAGTCAATATTAGGTTCTATTTACATAATAAACCATAATATCAACAACATCAATTGTTGCCAACTGATTGGGAGGGGACAGAAGCTTTGGAGATTCCAAGTTTCATTTATCAGGCACCTTTTGACATTCATTATTAGTGTGATTTGCCACATCACACACACAGCTAAAGATAAACACAGTCTTGGATTTAAGCCCAGCGCAGTCATTGTGTGTAATACCATGTAGTATAACAAGTTTAAAGGTGGAAGCCCCTTTAAAGCAAATGGGATGTTTTTGCAATGATCTCAATGATCATGAAATAGATTAAGATTCTAAGGGCTCACTTCCTACGAGAAGTTGCAGCAAATTACCACACTACGTTCCAGCTGTGCCTGCAAACTTACAGAGAAATTCTCAAGTTTATTAAGCCATCAAGTTATCAAGATGCGAATGCATTTTTATACTTTGTTTTGTTTTGTGAGGTCCTGATTACAAAATTATAGAGAAAGGAAAAGGGGTGTTTACTTGGTTTTGCAATATGCCACAACACACATGATGCCAACTACAAGGAGAGCAATGCAGATGCCAGTTATGGTCAACACCCTTTTCTGGTAGAGTTCCTCAGCTTCTAGAAAATGAGAAAATATAGAAGGTTATAACATGTACACTGGATGAAAAAAAACAGAAACCACTAAGTACAGCTTACAGTCTATCAACTTATAGCTACAATGAAAGTATGACAAACTTTAAGCTCAGAAATTACAAACTATATTTAGTATCACTGACACGAGCTTAAAATAAAGAAAATTTAAATTAAATCTAAAACAAATCAAATCACAGTCCAGTGTTTTGTTTAACATAATTTAAAATTTACAAAGTTGTCTAATGAAACAAAAACAATACACTGATTGAACAAGTCATTTTGTTTGAAAACGGGGCTTTCTTGCAAAGATAGCTGGGATAAAGATCATTATTGGACCTCTCTCCTCCCAATTTTCTCTTTGCAGTCCCTTGTGGTAATTTAAAATATCCAGGTGTTTTTTCAATATTATTTTCAATACTACACCAATCTTTACATGAGGAACATTACATTCTACTTTGAATTTCGCTCCGCCACCTGGGTAAATTGCATAATTCACCAGGAACTGACAGTGACATTTAAGTTTATCCACCCCTCCAATAGGCAAATATGCATTGTACCATAGACATTCTATGATTGATTGAATAGTGAAAGAAAAATGATGATATTTAGGTGAAAAAATAGGTTCTACTGTGGTGATCTCAATCTAAGATACTATATCAGTATGAACTTATTCTTAGGGCAAACAATGTTTTGCCTGGCAAGATAGTCATATTCCACTTGGCAAAACATAGTTTATATGCTAAACAAAGGAAATGGTACATACCAATGGTACACAGGATTACCACCAGAATGAGCCAGACCTTTGTTTTTATTTATCTTATTTGATTACTAAAAACTGTATTTAGCTTTTAATTTAAAATTTTGTAATTGTCTAGTTGCTAACCTCAAAGTAAGCACTGTCTGAGCACCCAACAAGAATTTACATTCACAATGGGAATGTTTTTAGGAAAATGACTATTCAGAATTAAAGAAAGGGGACAGGAAAAATCACTTTCAGTACTCTTGGAAATGAATTTGTCATCAATGGAACAGGATTTGAAAATCTGTTACTTTTCTGCTTTGCGATAGTTTGTATTTAGCAATTTCCTGGTCTGGGGATCTTTGTATGTTTGCAGATAAGACATCTGTTAGAGCTTGCTTTGCCTTAGCCTGTTATTTCAGATTGATTTCTGGCAATAAGCACTGTCAGGTCCCAAATTCCTGACTTCTGCGGTCACTGTTGCTCTAAGGATCCAAATATTTAACTTAGACACCGAACCAATATATAGTTAGACTATGTCATATTGGCCAAGATCCAATAACTGGCAGTGTCTGCTGAGATGCAGGGCCATTTATTGATACGTAACATTTGGGAGAAAAAAACATGTTCCCGAGAATTTTTTTTAATGGCATATAGGATTTGATCAAATGCTTATTGCATAATTTTCAAATGCTATTTTCAGCACCCAACTTTCATATGATAAAGTGATCAAATGTAGTTGAGACTAAATCTGAATGAGCTCAATAAGGTTTTCTGCTGAGTAGACATATATATGAGCTCAGACTGTGAATGAAGGAATGTTTACCAGCTTTTGGTTTTCCCCTGAGATGACTTGAGTTTTCAGATCGTAACAGATTAAAGGATAAAATATTTAATTGGCTTGGCTCAATTGTACCATCAGAGTGGCCCTTTCATGTTTTAGCTCCTCCCTTGTGGAATCAATTCACCCTTGAAGAATATGTAGAGGCTGAATCTCCTGAGGTTCAAAGACAATTCTTTTTTTTAATGACGTTAATGAAAATGAAAGTACCTTTATTTTTTATTTCAGTATCTAATACTAGTTTAAATGACGATAATGCTGGGATTCGAGAATATCTGAAAAAAATTATGTTGTGATTTTTATCATTTTGTTCTTACACTGCAGTTAGATATAAGGAATAGGCTAATTAGATATTAATTTTTCAGTGAATTATAAATTTGTGAATTATAAATTTGTGTATAAATATAGGCCGGAGAAAGCAAATATTATTATCTTTTTTAGATTTTTGTTAAGAGCCATTAGTTAGCCTTTTAAATCCTTTACATTCAATGGAATTTACACAAAGGAAATGGATTTTTAGGGACATAGTATATTTCCTCAAATATTTTCTCTGTGATCATCTCCTCTCCCAACCTAAGCATTCCATTAAAGGATTTTTCTTTACATATCACTTTATACAACACCCATATTTAACTCTCAGGGCTGCTTTCGATACTATAGTTTGAAATTCCAAATAAACCAAAACTAAAATTTAAAAACAATCTTTCAAACCTTCATACCTATGATACAATGCATATTATTGCTTCTACAAGCCAATCCCAATACAAACATTGATTAACAATTTTCTAAACATATTTATACAGAAATCAACAATACTGATTATGAATAAAAGGAAGGAAGGATCAGTTTGTGAGAAAATAAAACCAGAATGCTCAAATTATTATACAAACAAAAATCCAAGAACAAGAAGTAAAGGTACTGAAACAAACACAAATATGGGAAGAGGGAGAGGAGAGAAAGAAGAAGGAAAGGAACAGATGAAGTAAGAGGAGGAAGCTGAAGGGAAATATAAGGTTAGAAGTTGAAAAATCAACTACAGGCCTGGCACAGCATGCTTGATAACTGGAAGAAAGAGTGAGAAAAATGCTTGAAAGTAAGACTGAAGCAGAGTTTAAAGGGATTTTACATACAGCATAACTTCTAAGCTATGCTCTCCCAAAAGCACTGATTGATTAGCCAAATACTGGAGTCTTATTACTATATAATCAGAGATAGCAAAAGCCATGCTAAATGCAATCCAGTATATAAGGAATAATGCAGTTCTTAAAAGGTTAACAGAATTCTCTTTGTAGCATCAGTCATTAATTGGTTAAAATTGTGTGGCTGCTTCCCTCCTGCTCACAGCCTAGGATGGATGCATAAGTTGTGAGAGCTTTATATTAACCATAATTAATAGTATGGGTTTTTTTCAGTGCTATAACATGATGGATGTGATCCACGGTGCCTTTCTAGTGGCATTTTATAGATGTTTAGTGCAATGCAAAACCAGGGTGAGTCTTAATCACTGTTCTCTCATTTTTTTCAGTCTCCTCATCCCTAATAGTCCGGCTCATCCTCTCTTGAGTTATATGGTTTTGTTTGGAACTTTAATAATATGCATTTTCTGCAAAATCTTTTGTCAAGAGCATCTTCTTTTGCAGGCTTTATGTCTCCTTCCCAATGCAAATACCATGGGGATACGAGGAATGTATACTAAACCAATAGTCTCTTTTCTCAATCTACTTGGCTTCTATTGTAGGCCACACATGCAGCATGATGTGGGTATGGATATATATTTTAATATAGTTCTGCACCAGGAGGATTCTACACCACGAGATTTATAACCAATCATATAGACGTGGGAAAGTCTTGCTACATAGTGAGGTTCTAGAACTTGCAATGTAGAATAATTATGAAATAATTATTATGAATACAGTAACCATGAAAAAAACATGTCGCTCTGGTTGTATTAGCTATAGGCTATATTCTCCATTCTTTCTTTTCTGAATGAGGCCATATATGAGGCCATATTAATATAATGTTGCCAGGCATCTGATGTGATATCAATACATATACTATCCTGGGATGGCTTAGTGAAGAAGTCCTAAAAGGCAGTGAAACAAAAGCATCCAGAGCTTAACCAAATATAAAAGGAAAAACAACACTATTTTGCCAATGGATGTCCAGTCCACTCATACTTGCACATCTGAAGCATCACAATGGGCATGTAAGCTTATGTTTAGAAACACAAGAAATCAGTATCCAGTGCAACTTTAAAATCATTTCTAGCCATGCCAGAAAACAATTTTAGATGTTAAAATTCAAGTCTGAGTAAGGTCTAATTTAGAGTGTGAAGCAGCATTAGATTAAATAAAAATAAGAGATGAAGGCAACAAGTCAAAGCTGGTCATGTGGTAAGAATTGACCTTCCCTTATTTTAACCTCAAAATATATTTCTGGTTTGAATAATAAGGAAAGGATTGTAGCTATGAGACAATTAATTACAGGTTCAGTCCCCATTCTCTTCACTTAGAGCTGGAAAAACAAGTCCTAGTCCTGAAGGCCCATAGCTTGGTCTTTACGTTTTATAATGCTCCGCTTTCTCTTTATTCCACCTTATTTTCTTTTCTGCCCATCGCATAGGTAGTCCTTGACTTACCACCACAACTGAGCCCAACATTTCCATGGCTAAGCAAACATTTGTTAAGTAAGTTTTGCCTCACTGTATGACCTTTCATGCCACAATTGTTAAGTGAATCACTACAGTTGTTAAGTTACTATCATGATGGTTAAGTGAATGTGACTTTTCCATTCACTTGGCTCATCAGAAAGTCGCAAAAGGTGGTCACATGACCCTGGGAATGCATGTGAAAAATCATCCATGTGATAAATATGAAAAATGGCAATAAGTTGCTTTTTCGGTGCTGTTACTGTATAACTTCGAACGGTCACTAAACAAATGGTTGTAAGTCAATGACTACCTGTATAAACCTTTTTCCTTTGCATGGTGCAAATCCAACAAGTATTTTCAATCCTCAATTGTTTTAGGGACATATGCACATAATGGTTGTATAGAATAACTTTGTTATTCCTTTCCATTATTTTCTAAAAAGGAGACTTCTCCTTGTTATTTTCTGAGTGTTTTTACCAGCAGTTAATTTCATATGTGAAAATTGCATAGGTTCAATTCAGAGATAGCAGCAGTAATATATTGTTGCAAATGTTAAAAAAGTATGCCAAATTATCCATCAGAAAAGTTAGTTTCCTGTCTTTCGTGGGCATCTCAAGCACATTCCACAGTGGTGTGTGTGTGTCTGTTTTTATCTCTCACACACATATACAAACAGGCACAAACACACACAGGCGTATGGTTATGAGAGCTGTGTTAAGTGTAATAGGGAGCTGGCAAAGGCTGTTATAGCTGTATGATCCCTTTTAAAGCACAAGGAAGTTGGTTAGAAACTGAAGGTGAGGCAATGAAAAAAAAGTTTTCAATTTCTCAGCAAGCTAAAAGGAATGATTGGTCCATACCCATAAATTCAATCCCAAGATGCTCTGCCAATGCAGAAAGTTGACATAAAAAGAAAGAAAAGGGAAAATAGTTTCAGAAAAGAGCAATACACCTTACTGAAAAAAATAAATTACACATGGATATTATATCTATTAGGTGTTTGCACAATGAGACAGGACAAATGGCTTAAGGTTAATGTGCAGAGCTCATGTAAGTTTTCACAGGCTCTTTTTTAAAAAAAAATATTTACAAAATTATGGCTCTAAACCAAACCACAAAATGGTACAGCTATATACAATTTAAACAACATGATGACTTCACCAATGTATTTTAACCCTTAAAGATATTACTGAAGTATATGTGTTTACTATATCATTTATATCACATTTAAGGTATAAAACACCCCCATATAAAATATGCTCATTACTACATTTACGGTCCATAGTGGAGAGTTTGCTATACATAAAACTACACTGTCCCTTGTTTCTCAATCTTAGCAACTAAGATGTGTGGACTTCAACTCCCAAAATTCCCTAATCAGCATTTTGGGAACTGAAGTCTATACATCTTAAAGTTGCTGAGATTGAGAAACCTGGCTTTAGTCTGTTGTAGACAGAATTTAAGTTTAGTCTACTGTAGGCTCATGTTAGAAGGGATAAAATGTAAATATACACAGTTCTGTATCTGAAGTGGTAGTAAGTAGCCTCTTCTGCAATTTTAAAACTGATTTGGAAGGCTTCTTAGATCATACAAAGGAATGAGAAGAATTACTGAAATTGTTATATGTTACGAAGCCTCAGGGGGAAAAAAAAAAGAGAATCAATCTGATCAGAAGCAGATTTATGAGTAACTTTGTAAAACCATGAAACGACATATAAACATTATGTGTTTCAGAATATTATATGATAACGATATTGAATCTTACAAGTGAATTTCCTTTCCTTCTTCTTCTAATACTACTGGGAGCGGAAAAAAACGGCATTACAGTAGATGATGACTAAGAAGAGACTATGTGTAGTTGCAAATGACTACCTTCCATATAGGGCGGCCTGTTATGTTGTGGCTACTATAATTGCTGGAATTTATTCAGACAGCACAATTTGCTACAATGAAACTATACTGATACTTCAGCTGAAGTACAGAATTGCTTGCCTTTTTAATATCCTTTGATATTATTATAAACAGACTAACTATGGATCGAAAGTCTATTTCATTGCAATATTGGGAATGTGTATAATGCATGGATAAGTTTTTTTTTTAAATGATAATATTAGACTGCTGGTTTTATAAAGCATTCAATGATTACTCATAGCTCTGTATGTTATCATTTAATTCTAGTATCAAACTATAACTGCTATATTTATCACTGAGGAGCAATTGCTGATTCCTTTCTTAACATGTATAGGTGCAAATATATATACTATATTCATTTTCACTTCTTATAGGTTAAAATATTTCCAGCAGTGTCCAGTTTCCCTTTACAACCAGTCATATTTTAAGGGTTAAATAAAAATACATAGGTTTTTCACAGTCTTAAGAGCCAGTGTTACTTGCCTACATGAACACTACTAACAATACATATTAGCTGCAGTTGCATAGAAGTTTCAGTAGAATTAGTGACATGCTCATGCATAAATATTATTGCATATGATAGTTCACAGGTAAGATAGACAACCCAGTTGAATTTCAGATAAATTCACTAATTTCAAACAGCTTATATATGAACTAATTGAATGGCAAATTGAATATATATATATATATATATAATTTTCATTCATTTGTTCATTCGTTCATTCATTCATTCTGGTAGCAAAAATCATGCATAGGGAACATGCACTGCTTATTCTAACTCCAGGATAAATGCAAAACATTCCAATTAACATTTGCAATTCATACGTTTTCTTGATTTTCAAACTCTCAAACAGTCATGCTTGCTAAGTTCAGGGCTAAAGATATTATTCCATACATTCACAGTATTATACAGCTACTATGATTTTATTTGCTATGTCTGCTTTGAATGTTAAAATTTATAATAGCTTATTTAAATACTTATTACACAGGTACACAGCCTATAAATAGCAAAGTGATAGATAGCACTTTGCTTGTAGGTTGCTGTTAAAACTCTGAGACTAGTTGGGGGGGAGCAGCTTTGTAATTTTTCTTTTTGCTTGTTTGTTTAGGCAGTTCTGCCTATAAGCTTCATTCTGTAGTGCTTTGCGGTTGAGCACAATTATCATCTATGCATGAAGTTACTAATATTAACAAAATCACCATTGTAATGAAACAATTTAAAACCCAAAGTAATTTGGCTGCAGCATACAGCATAGCGATCTATTCTATCTCCTTAGGAACCCCTCATTTTTTTTGTCTTGAATTTCAAAGGTAGCTAAGCCTGAACCAAGTAAAAATTACTTTTAGTAATTTTGCTGTCTCTTTTGCAAAAGGAGATTTCTGTGTTGCCTGAAAGTGGTGGAGCTCTGCTTGAATGTCAACGAGATAATGTAAAATTTATCTTCAAAATCTCTTAATCTACTGAAGACGGAGTGCAATTAAAAGGCTGGATGGTGGGTATCACAGGCGAGTGTTAGGGAGTACGAAACACCGGTGGCAACTAGGGAAGATAGATTGGTGCTATGGGAGGGTGGTCATAAAAGTGGGCTCCCAAATTTCTAACACATGACTATGAAGTTGCTGCAATGGCTGGAACTTTGAAGTTGGGTTATAAATCCATTTTTTCAGCACTGTTGTAACTTTGAACAGGCATTGAATGAATGGACGTAACCTGAGAACTACTTAGATCCCTTAGAACTGGTAACCACTGAGGAGTACATTTTGTGAGGTTGCATGATTTATTGATGGAATTAATATACAAGAAGCAATCTGGCAAATTTTCTAAAAAGTTATTTATATCAGGAGTAATTACAACTTATAGCAGTACTATGTCTATTTTTTGTATTCATTTTATCTTAGACTACATTATGAAATAAATCTTCATTATATGTTTTACAGCTACTCACATAATATACAGTACAGGCAAACCACCACATAAATGTAACTTTGAAGTTACTATTTAACAAGTATATCTTTGTATATCTTTACTTATATCAGACAATTTGAAACTGCTTCTTTTGGGATGATTCTTATGAGATGCTAATGTATATTCACCAAATACGTTATTAAGGCTTTAAAAGAGACTTTTGGTACATACATTTTAGGAGGTAAAAGGGGAGTCATGATTTGTGAACATATTTAAGGAGTCCAGATTATTTTTAGCATTCAGGTGGAGCTGAAGTCAGTATCTATCTATCTATCTATCTATCTATCTATCTATCTATCTATCTATCTATCTATCTATCTATCTATCTATCTATCTATCTATCTACAAATAAAAAGTTCAATTATTATTCTAGATTAGACTTCCTGTTCATATTATGCCTTCATTATTCTTGGTTCCTGAACATATTTATATAATAGGAAAGAAGTTAGAAAATTCTTTCAAATATATTTCTTATTTGGGTAATGAAATATCAAGAACGAGCTTTCTACTAATTGATTTTTTAACTCAAGAAAAATATTAGGCAATATTAATTCTAAAACTCCTCTTTGGGAAATTGCTTGTAATTTAGGAGCTGAGTGCTTAGGATGGTTATAAATTATTCATGCATTTTTTTTCACAGACATGAAAAATATAACCCATATGACTGACGCATGCTACCTTGCCAATGGAAATTAAATAGGATCATCATGAAGGAGCTGACATTTTTCACTGCTATTGAATAAACCATCAAGGACTGTTTATAGGGCTGTGCACACTTCAAAAATGATTTGAAAGAAATACTTTGAGCCATGTGCAAAAAACAGGATCTCTCTGCTACTCATTAAAGCAGGTCACTTTTTTTTTTGTTTAGGCTTCTTCAGGAGTTTAAAAAAGAGATGCCACTGCTTTAAGGAAACACTCATTAAATGAATATGACACTCTTAAAGCATTAGTATTCCACTGACAACTTAATCAAAAATATTCGGATACCATTAGTAAGTACGCTGACTATGCACAGAACTGTAAGAACAGTGTTCACCTCATAGAATCTCATGGCCAGTTTTAGCTTTGAACTTAACTGGTTATGAATTATGGGAGGTAGAACCAAACATTTCTATAGGGCAGGGGTAGGCAACCTTGGCTCTTTTATGACTCAGGAATTCTGGGAGTTGAAGTCCACGAGTCATAAAAGAGCCAAGGTTGCCTACCCCTGCTATAGGGAGTCCGACTGCAAAAGATTGTTGTTTTTGAAAATCTTTTTGGGTCTGCCACAAGTACCTCTAAAATAGCTCTTTAGAACCCTACTAAACATTTGTTATGAAAGGGCAAAGCAAAATATATTAACATTCAGTTAATCAGACAGGGATAACAAATTCTTGGGGTTCAATATATAAATCTGAATTCTGACACGTATGTCATATAAATGGCATTCTCCTGTTTATGTTAAGTTGGACATTTTTAAAAACGTAAGTAAAGCCATTGCCCTCAGTTCACATATTCTTCAGCACTGTTTATGATCATATTTGATAAAAGATGATGTAATCATATTTTATATCCAATTTCCTCCATGACTATTGCTCAGAAATATCTTATTTGGATTAGATTCGGATAGTTACAGCTTTGTAATGATATTTAGCCTTATGTTCATGTTTAGCTCCTTGAAAAGCTATTAATTGGAATCAATATTGTTTCCCCCCTTAATTTTTATTGTTCTAATTTTGCTGAAGTCTTGACATTGCTTGGACAATCATTACCATGCAAACAGGCAGAAGCAACCAAGATTAAGGTTCATGGAATCCATTTAGTAATAAAGGAAAATCTGAGGAAAGATGCGACTAGAAGAAAGCAGAACCAAACTGAGCATGCTCCTATTCAGGCAGAGACAGAAAGGAAGTGGACGTACTGTAGAAGCTGGCCATTACGTAGTTTTGACAGCGATCACCAGTAAATTCATTTGGGCACCTGAGAGTAAAAACAAAAACAAAAAGAAAGAGAAAACAGAGAAAAAGAAAAAGAGGCAATTATATGCTAAGAGGCTCCTTGCGTGACTGCAGCCAGAACTTTGATGAATTCATCTTCAGAAATTGGGCCTGTTTCTTATTGCCAAGAGGCTGAAAATGTTTTGAGGAAAAAAAAATGGCTTTACAAGTACCAATTTAAGGAGGAAGGTGGTTAATTTTAGTTAATATAAAAGTACAACACCTGAAATGACAACTTGATATTATTGTCATTAGATAGTGAACTTGAACACAAGCCAGCTATTTTTTTAAAAAAATTAGGCTAAAGCCTCAGAGACTCTTATCCAAATAAGAATACTTTCAATGACAACCAGAACAATAAAGAATTGCTGCCATTAGCAAAACAATAGTAAGTGTTTGGTGCTGTCAAATCTGCACAGAATGGTCAAAGGCAAAAGAAAAAGATCCCATTTTAAACTGAAGAGTGAAAACATCAAATGATAGTGATTTTGATTGCTGTAATTTGGGGAGAAAACACATTTCATCTTATTTTAAAACATACTTTGTGGACTTTTTGGCAATTTATGGACTTTCATGGGTACAACTTCAGCACATCTTGGTCCAGAGAATCCATCCTGACACCTAAAGGCAAAAATGTGATCCACAATTTAAAAAGAGAAGAACTCAGGGGTAGAGAAAATCCTGTTCTGTTTCTATGGAACATGAGACTCCTCTAAAAGACCTCGGAGAAAGAATTTAAAATGAAAATGGATGACAGAACCATTGCATTTTTATGTAAACAAATTCTGTGTCACCAAAAGATAACCACAAATAACAAAACTAAAACGTACAATCAAGGAAAGGAAGTAATGCTGATGATAAAATTTTCAGCTGATGTTTCTTTTTCTAGAATGCTATACCATGAATTCATTGGTGCTTTCAGCATTTATTTTGATGGCGTGATCAATTAAGGATATTATCCTTTTTTTCCCACTGCCATATCCATTGATATTTTAATAAATATGCAGAAACATGGACTTTTATGTTATAGTTGGACTACAAAACTACCCAAAGCAGAGAATAACATTTTCAAATACAAATTATATGATGAAATAGGCAATGTTTTTCTTTCTTTCTTTCTTTCTTTCTTTCTTTCTTTCTTTCTTTCTTTCTTTCTTTCTTTCTTTCTTTCTTTCTTTCTTTCTTTCTTTCTTTTCTTTCTTTCTATGATTTAAAATTATTAATTGACCAAATCAAATGAACTCCAGGCAGCATTATGTTAAAACAACAATGTAATATATCAGTAGCAAGAACATTATAAAATCAGAGGCAAAAATATATTTATTCTATTATTAGGGTCCAGTAGAAAAGCTGATCCTCAATATTATTCAGAATAAAGGAGGCAAACTGGCCAAATAGGACTCCCAAGCTTTAGCTAAAAAAATATATGTAACCATGCCTCAGGAAAAGCGGTAATAAAAAGTTCTCTTTAAAGATCAGACTTATATTGAAACAAGCAATTCCTCAGATATTGTAAACTCTTGTAAGAAACAGGACTTGAATTCAGCTCAGGAGAAAACTGGGAACCTCCGTCATATAGGAGTCTCTGATCCCAAAATGCTCTCTCTGATTCTATCAAGGACTCTGCATTAGATGCATTCTCTAGATCCTTCAACCTCTGCACCTAATTCTTCAGATGATGTTCCACTACATCCATGGGAGAAGAAATATCTATATGCCGTGCTTCTCTTTTTCCTTATTTCATGTCTTTAATTCCTTTGGGTCACTGTTTATTGGTCTTTTCTGTGTTGTGCATAACATAGGTTACCTCAAAAAGGAATAGCATAATGGGTATGTATGTATGTAGGTATATATGTATGTATGTACGTATGTTCATTGGTTGGTTACAGTCTCAAGACCAGAATCTGGATTATAATAGATCTAGATCAGGGGTGTCAAACTGCTGGCCCATGGGCTGGATGTTTCATGTGGAAGCTGCACCCACCCCATTGTCAGCAATGGCAAAACTGGCGTCATGTGATGTCGCGAGTTTGACATGTCTGATCTAGATCAAGAATTTAAATCAGGGGTTATAAACTCTTAATAGTTTCTGGTAGATTGACAAGGATTAAACATGTCTTTAATGCTTATAAAACGAAGAATCATTAGCAAAACAAATACATTTTTTAAAAGAACTGTTAATTTAGTTCAGTTTCTAGGCAAAGCTGATTTCTTAGTTCAATAATTTTTAGTTTGATATGATTTATACCAGTTGGCAGATTACAATATCATAGATGCCACAATTGTGGATTTGGTCTAATTAATTAATCAAAAAATATATGAAATTGGGACAGTAATACACATTCAAATACTTTTATCTGAATGGAAAACATTTAAAAATGGATAATAATAATCTAGGAAACAGAAATGGAGATAATGTTTTTATAGAAATGATTTAATTGTATTGTCCTTTAATACTGCAGGTAATTTATAATCCTATAGGAAAGCATTTATCATTTCCTCTGTCCATTTAGACAATCTCCGTCTGGTGGTTTTAATTAACCAGCACAGTCAAAAGTCCATCATGCACCCAATTTTCCTGAAACAGCAAAGGATATTGTTCATATCCTTGCAGGGGGAAAAAAAGAGAAGAAAATCTCATCTATAAAATGCTATGTAAATTAATTGTGTGGATTATTGAACTTTCTTTAGGATTCCAGTTCAAACCCATTTGGAAAGGTTCCAGTGGCCCAGATTGGATTTGCCACAGAAAATGTGCTTTTTTATTGCTATCACTATCACTATTATAACTATTGCTATAGGGTAAACAAAGAGAGAGAGAGAGAGAGAGAGAGAGAGAGAGAGAGAGAGAGAGAGAGAGAGAGAGAGAAGAATCCCCACTAGAACTGAATTGGATTTCATTGCTTTTGTTCAGTATCATTTTGAATTCAAGGGATGAAAAGAAAATGTCATGTTGAAAGAGAGAAAAAAGGAAAAAAAAACTTGTTTGAAATTTATACCATAAAAAAACTTATCTTCCCTGGTTCATACAAAGAAATTGTGCTGTGTTTGTAATATATATATATATATATATATATATATATATATATATATATATATATATATATATATATATATATTATATATATATATATATCTTATTCCTGATTGCTATTAAATTCTTTTTGCTGCCTGAATCCAATCCAAATTCAATTAAATCTATTTTTAACCATTTTGCTTTTTTTAACTTTTCCAATCTCAATTATCTATATATTTTAAAAAAAGGATCATTCCTTTTTTTTCTCCTTGCATAAAGGAGAAATAGTGCAACTATTGGAAAATTCAATAAGTAACATAGATGTTTGAGTCATAGTTTACTGTTTTTATGAATGTCAGGATTTTAAAAGTATACAACATTTTTTATGCTTAACATTTGAGGATCATTTTCTCCCAAATATGTTTTCCTAAGTCTTGTATAGTAGTCACATCCTGCTTGAAATATACCGACCAAAACAAAATAATATTTAATAATAATAATAATAATAATAATAATAATAATAATAATAAGTAGTTGGAAGGGACCTTGGAGGTCACCTAGTCCAACCCCCTGCTCAGGCAGGAAACCCTATACCATTTCAGGCAAATGGCTGTCCAGTCTCTTCTTAAAAACCTCCAGTGCTGGAGCATTCACAGCTTCTGGACGCAGGTTGTTCCACTGATTAGTTGTTCTAACTGTCAGGAAATTTCTCCTTAGTTCTAGATTGCTTCTCTCTTTGGTTAATTTTCATCCATTACTTCTTGTCCTGCCTTCAGGTGCTTTGGAGAATAGCTTGACTCCCTCTTCTTTGTGGCAACCCCTGAGATATTGGAACACTGCTATCATGTCCCCCCTCGTCCTTCTCTTCATTAGACTAGACATACCGAATTCCAGCAACTGTTCATTATATGTTTTAGCCTCTTTGAAAGGCACTTTGAAACAATTTTGCTTAAATACAGCAAATGTTATTGGATTGTATGTGTTAAACATACTCAGAAGGGCTTCATCAAATCAGAGCTGCTAAGGTTTTTAAAATTCTATTTTATCACTGATCTAGCTTGTGAATGTTTCAGAAAGGCCTTATTAGTAAATAAACCAGAATGGCCTGTAAAAAAATGTGTCCTGTTTCAGGAATACCAACACCAAGAGTTCCTTTTGAGTAAATAGCACCACTATTCATGGATCCTGGTAATTGGTGGGCACGAATTAATTTTCCAAAAACACAAAATAAATTATGTTATCTCTTCCTAACCTAACCAAAACTCCATTTTCAAACTCTGATTATTTCTGAAAATAGCAAAACATGTGGTTTGGCTAATAAAATTTATAAAAGCAAGAGTGACTGGGCCCATATAAAGAGAATTTACAATGTTTTAATAGAATTGGATTTTGAAATGGATCTAATTAAAGATTGTATGGTAAAGTGGGCTCAAAATATTCAGGAACCGATCCCGTTGGATACATGGGAGATAATTTGGGTTAGAAATGTAAAATTTACACAGGCTCAAAATTTAAGAGAAAATTTTTATAAAATGTTTTACAGGTGACATTTGGATCCCAGAAAGCTGTCTTGTATGTATTCTAATTTACAACCCAAATGTTGGAGATGTGGTAGCTTGGATGCAACCTATTTTCATATTTGGTGGACTTGTAGAAATATAAAAGCTTTTTGGATTAAAATTTGGTGGAACATTCAAAAGATTTTTAAAAGAAAGATAAAGTTTACCCCTCAATTATTTTTGTTGGGTATTATTGTAGATTTTGATGTTAAAGAAACTAATTTGATGTTGAACTTAATAACAGTAGCAAGATTATTGGTAGGGCAATATTGGAAGAAAGAGTCCTTGCCTACTATAGAAGAATGGATGTTTAAGGTGTCAAATTTAGCAGAAATGGCAAAAATTTCTGCCTATTTGAAGGATCATACACAAGAAAGATATATTTCGGTTTGGAGAAGATGGATAGATTATATTCAGAATAAATATGGGATTAAAAAGTTTCATTTAGCTTATGAGTAAATTTTAGATTAGTACTGATAGTATAATAACTCATTTTAAATTTGGTATTACTATGGTTTAATTAATATTGACTTGTTTATATTATTCTTTCTGTTTTAATTTGCTTATATTTATCTTAAATGGAATTTAATGTATTTTATGCATTTGGTTACTTATATAGTTGGGTAATGTTAATTAGAATTTGATTATTAATTTGTAACCCTGTACTCAGCTCTGGGAAGAGGGGGGAGGGTTAGGGGTGGGTGGGTTTTGGGATATTGTATACTGTATAAAACTTTTCAATAAAAAAAAGCAAGAGTGACTACCACAAACAACACTGTAGCAATGTTGATCGCACAGTGACTACATGTTTAAAATAAGAGCTTCCTACACTGCATTAATTAATCTTCAATCTATGCTTGAAGACCAAGGTTGACATAATGATATGAGTATGAGTATGATTATGTGATATGAATTAGAATGAGAGTTTTTAGTTGTTAGGAACTTTTCTCCAATGACATTTTACCTTGAGCTTAGTATCAGATATTTTACTGATAACTTTGTTGGCCATAAAGATATTTGAATCCCAGGTTGGCAGCTAAAGAGAGAATGTTTGACAATAGTAAAATTGTCTGCAATGTTATGGTTTGTGTTTCAGTTTAAGGAAATATTGCTTTGTTTTTCAAACAGTAAATCATGTGTAATAAATATGAATTTATTATTGAAGCAAAACCAGAAATATCTAAATGCTTCTCCTTTAGAATATAGCTGTATCAAAACACTCTATTTCTAATTCTGATATGAATTTGTATCTATTTGTTTTTTTTAAAAAAACCAACAACGAAGTGATAGTACAGCTCTGCTTACTTGGATTAATTAGATAACACTGTATTTTGTATGGCAAAACTGGATGAGTATGGTCTTTCAAACACTTCATTGGCCAAATTTGCTTTCCAATCTGAACATTTTAACTAGAGTTGGTATGACATTTTATCTGAATGAAATTGATCTTTCTGCTTTATCTATTCTTGCATATAATTATATCATAATTTGAATGTCATTATGAGCAATATAGTAGGAGTGGTATGAAATGAAAAGCACTTGATAATTTCCAATTGTGCTCAAACATACTTTTTGGTTTAACAAGGCCAATCTGAAAACAAAGCAATGTAAGAACACCCATTAAGAAGTAATTATATTCTCAATTTGATGCGAGGCTTACAATATTAACTAAGTCTCAGATCTATAGGAAACTTCTAGCTTCTAGAAAAAGAAAAAGAATATTTTAGCATTCTCCCCCTTTCAGTTACATTTCATAAAGCAATCATAAAAGATTAGTGTCTTTATTTGATGCAGCCAAAATATAAGACATCTTAGAATTCCAAACAATTAATTATCTAATTTTTCACAGAGTATGTGCTATATGTTTTAATGTTTCTGGAACAACTTTCAGCTTGAAAAATAGTGGAAAGTCAGTTGTGACATCTCTACCACAATGGTAAGCTATCACAGGTCATTGATCTAGCAAATATTATGGAATAATTTCAGAACGTTTTGTTTTAATGAAAGAGAGAAAGCATATGTGTATTTCATATTTGTATTTTGTAAATGGACTTTTAATTTAAAACATGATTTTTTTCTCCAAACAAATGCATAAATAACAACATTAAAATTTTTGAATGCTTTTACCATATGAACAGTATCATCTAGTCAAACCAAACATTCATTTAGTGTAGTTTTTCAAATTGGTTCACTCCAGCTATGTTGACTTATGGGTCTGATAATTTTTATGAAATGCAGTCATTGACCATGTCAACAGATGGTCCAATACAGCTGGAAGCAAATTAGGCACTAAAATAGTGGCTCCTTTTATTTTAATACATTGGGGATTTTTTTTGAAAGAAAAATGGTATTTCTTTGTCTAACAGATTGTTATTCCTTTTTTTGGCTAAATAATTTTATATATGGATTTAATCTAATTTAAATCATACACACAAAACTATCTGCATGTTTTGGAGACATGGGAAATGACTTGGGATGGTGTTTAACTCTTATTTTGGAGGACAAAAAAACCTGTCATCAGCTCATAACATATATTCTTTAGGTTAAACAGTGTTACTATATGAAACATGCATTAAAGCAATAAATTCTGTAGCTTCATTGGGAAGTTTCTCGTACTTGCATAAATATCTTGGGTTTGGAAGATCTTTGACCATGAAGCATTCACCCCCATTTACACAGTAGCCTTTCTTATTCACATCACATCTTGTGAGATGACTTGTCCCAGCAGTAGATGTAGAAGTGGCTAGAAGAAACAATGGAAATAGAAAGGGACAAATCTCAGTATGCATGTACTCAGAGCAAAAGAGTTAGAATTACTAGTATTAGCATTTTTATGACATGCAACAAATATTCAGTACCTTAGTTGCAAAGAGAACAACAAAAATCACTTTGTCCAAAGTATTCTGAGGGTTACCATATGATGTCTGAGTCAACATTCGTTTTCCTGCTCATGGAATGGAACAACTCTCCATAGCCAACTCTCCATGGTCAATTCACGGTAGTCAACTCGCAGTGAGACAACTCTCCATGGCCAACTCACCATGGGACAACGTGCCATAGGACAATTCAATAATTCAATTTAATTATTTAAAATAATTAAAACGTTTTATTTGTTGTCATTCACATTTCCTTGTGTCCCTCCTTTGGCATCCTTTCTTTAATGATTCTATTCCACCATTTCTTCGATATTAGTGTAACTCTTATCCCGCAGCGAGTTGTCCCGCAGCAAGTTGACCATGGTGAGCTGTCCCACAGTGAAGTTGGCTGCAGTGAGTTGTCCTAGACCAGTGTTTCTCAACCCTGACAATTTTAAGGCATGTGGACTTCAACTCCCAGAATTCCACAGCCAGCAATGCTGGCTGTGGAATTCTGGGAGTTGAAGTCCACATGCCTTAAAATTGTCAAGGTTGAGAAACACTGTCCTAGACCCTTCCTGATCGCCCTGTAATATTTTAGAACTGAGCTCTGTGACCCTGTAGGATGGATAAAGGAGTGAAGAAAAGCAAGTCTCCTGTTCCTGGCATGATAATTTTATTATACTTTATATAGCTCCTTATAAAATACATTTGCTGAACAGATTAAAGAAACAACATGCAAAAAGTAATACGAATAGTGTACAAATCTACATATTCACAATAAACCAAAACTTTCTTATATTCTCACATACATATTCATAAGTAACATTATGCAAAGTTCAGAAAGAGAACAAGAAATAGTAGGCAAAAGAAATGGAAGGATGAGAGAGAGAGAGAATATGTATCTTGTTTACCAACTTCTTTGAATACTTCACCGTACTTTGTTTGCAAACTATCCTTTTTCTGTCTGTATCTATACTCCCCCCTTTGTATATTGTCACACCTTGATCAGCACTTCTTTACTCTCCTACCATCGGGTAGAAGATATAGAAGCATAGCCAGCCACACCAACAGGCTGAAGAACAGTTTCTACCCATGGGTTGTCAGACTCTTGAAGGGAAAATAACTCCATGTATGATAGACTTGCGGGGCCGGCACATTGTGCAATAAGTTCACATGGTGCAATAAGATTGTGGTTTGTTGTCATTGTGAGTTGTGATGGAGGGTGCATGAAGGGAGGCTCAGCCAATCTCATTGTACACGTGTTATACTTTGACAATAAAGGATTTATGTTATGTTGTTTAATCTTCTGACCTCTTTTTTGAGGATCTTATCAATTTCATCCAATCAACATTTTTTTTCAAATCTTCCTCTTCTCTCAAACTCTTCACTCCTCATATATTTGTTCTGCAATTCTATTATCATTTGTGCTTTTTATAGACTACACCACACCACATTTTTTTTCGAACTAATTATTCAGAATTTATTCTTGCTATTAACTGTAACAAGAAAGTAAAATGAGTGTGTTACCACACACTCTTCTTAATTCCTACTTCATTTTACTTTTTCTATTGTTCTATTGTTTCTCCACATAGTGGCTAAGGCACCAGGTTAGAAAGCAGGAGACTATGAGCTCACGTCCTGCCTTAGCCATGAAAATCAGCTGGGTGACTTTGGGCCAGTCGTCTCAGCTCAACATACCCTCACAGGGTAAAATAGGAGAAGGAAGGTATGTTCTCATGCTCTTCAGCCTTTTGCAACACCAGCATCTGCTTTACAGTAGGGGTCTATTCTAGGTTAATCATCCTAAACCAGGGTCCTCAGCCCCAAGTCCATGGACCAGTACCGGGCCGCAGCATGCGAGCAACCGGTCCGCACAAGCAAAGCCCCATCTGTGGGATACAGGCAGCACAAAAAAACACACAATCTCTGGTCTGCAGAAAAACCTTTCTCCACGGAACCAGTCCCTGGTGCACAAAAGATTGGGGACCTCTGTCCTAAACATTAGTTTGCTATCATCTGAAATTCAGCCATGCAGATGAAATACAGAGAACTCACCCTTAACCAAGCAAATCAAAGTCAAATTGAATAACAATGCAATTGTCTGCCTTGAATCCAATTTGCTAATAACTACCCTTCCACATCTAGTTCTTTCACTCTTTAATTAATCTGCTAGTAACATTCATGTTCAATTAATTAATTTAATGACTTCTTGTAGAGGCTTCAATCCAAAAAGAAAAATAAGTTGGTAGAGCTGTCAAAACCCCTCATTATTGTTTGCCTTCCTCCCAATTTAGCCCATGCTAATAATTTCAGGATTTAATCAGCTCTCAGATTTCCAGGGTGTAGATAGCTTTTGCTCTTTCCATCTCCAAGCCTCAAATCCTTAGGAGACACAGACTCCAGGAGAGGACACCTAAATAACTCCACATCTTAGCTCCATCATATGGAATCATGACTTAAAAATATAATTAGACATAGCCATAATTTATAAACTGGCTCATTGGTGTTTTCTTATGGAAATATTTACTGCATATGCAATTTAGAATCATGCAAGAATTGCATCTATTACCTCTTCGCCTTTACCCTCTTCCATGTTTTCTTCTTAAATCAGACTATTACTCTAGAGACACCCTGCAGTTCTGAAGTAAATGCATTAATTTGAAAAGAAATGCAATACTGTCTGCTTGAGATCCTGCAGACGAAGTTTATTACTGCCACAAAGGCTAATGGAATGTTTTAAATTGAATTACAAGGATGACTGTAGAGGAGTTAAGCTTAAAGCTACCTATAATTGCTGTGGTCATCTTATTTTGCACTTTTTCTCTGAGCAAGTGAGAGATCAAAAGTAATGCAGCAAACAGATTTTTTTTTAAATTGAATCTCTAAAAAATAATAAAAATTGGGGAAATGTTACTTATCTGTTTGTTGATATGATACAGTAGCTTGTCCCAACTTGGGTGCTTTCAGAAATATGAATTTCAACTTCCAGAATTCTTTGGCTTGCTTTCTTATTGGTGAGAATTCTGGGAAATGAAATTCAGTAAATCGAACAGCAACCAGATATGGGGAGGTAACTTGTCTATCAATAAAAGTTCTCTAAGTAGGAAAAAAAATTAAACTATTGGAATACAAACCATAGTAATGAAAATCAACAACGAAGACAATGAAGTTGCAGAAATGCTTTGATGAAAAAATGTTGAGAGAGAACGTTCTTGGATGAATAAAGAAGTCTTCATATGATATTGAAAACACTACAAGAAGGCGTCAAATCAAGGGGAAATGTGTGTTTGTGTATGTATGTATACATGTATGTATATATATTTATACACACACACATACATAATGCTAGGATGCTTCTATGAAGGTCCTATCTTGAGTGGCCATCCTTATAACTCTAGTTGATAAGAATGCACAGAAATTTAATTCTGAATATAACTCTGTATAGTTGTCTAACATACATAAAAGAACATGATTTTTCTGGTTTACAGTTGTCTAAAAGAGATGGTCTGTAATTTGGTCCAGACATTAATGAATTTATTCTTGAAATAAATAAATAAATCTGTTCTACCTGTTTTAAAGAAGGCAGTAGCCTACCTGCTTCTTAAAAATCCAATTATTTCTGGATTCAATAGTTCTGGACAATTTTTATTAAGTCTTCAACCTCCACCTTTTGGGAAAAGTTGTAGAGAAGGTGGTTGGACTGCAGCAAAGAGAATTAAAGATGAATTCCATATCCTATCACAACTTCCAATAAAAGTATGGAATACAATAAATTTAAATATCTCCATGTTACCTGCTTGGCAGAATATTAGATTTTACTATTCCCCAGATCGTCATCAGCTTTTTCCAGTTTACCCTGAACTGCAGTTAACATTATTTTAGAACTCTATTTAAATGTCTTAAAAATAAGACATTGTCTGATTCCAAAGCTTAAGAGCCAAATCCTGGACAGGTCTTAGTTATGAAAGGGCTGAGATGATAGCATAAAGTTGAAAGTACCTTTGAGACTGAATGAGTTTCAGAAGCCACAAATACATAGGAAATAAGAGAAAAAAAAGTAAGATGAGAGCTCTGAAAACTAAAACTACAAGGGCTCTTGTTCTTCTAAGGAGCCAAGAAACGTCTCTTGTTTGCTCTGATATTCTCTATACCACAGGTCGGCAACCTGCGGCTCCGGAGCCGCATGCGGCTCTTTGAGCCTTCCCCTGCGGCTCCCAGCCTCCTCTGCCTTTGCAGAGAGAGACAGAGACAGAGAGAGGAATTGCGCTTCCCTGCTTCTCTCTCTCTCTCTCTCTCTCTCTCTCTCTCTCTGTGTGTTGTGTGTGTGTGTGTGTGTGTGTGTGTGTGTATATATAAAAAAGAGAGTGCACTCACAGTGTTCTCCGAGGAGCTGAAAAGCTTACTGGGCGGAGCTCTTCCCTTTGCTGCGTCTCTGCAGGAAGCAGGAAGGGCAGGAGAGAGCTAGCTAGCCCAGCTAGGCTGACTCAGGAATTCTGGGAGTTGAAGTCCATGAGTCATAAAAGAGACGAGGTTGACTACCCCTGATCTTGTTGGACAACAGCCTGAAGCTTGTCAGGTGAGCAGCAGATAGGAGGGGGGGGGAGAAAGAGAGAGAGAGAGAGAGAGAGAGGAGAGAGAGGAGAGAGAGAGAGAGAGGAAAGAGAGAGAGAGAAAGAAAGAGAGCGGGGAAGAGGAGTGGCAGACCAAGGGCAGATAGAGAGGGAGAGAGAGAGAGAGAGAGAGACCCTTTTGACATCTAAAATGAAGATAACACTGCATATATCCTTTTTTTACCTGTGTGTGTGTGTGTGTGTGTGTGTGTATGTATATATATATATACATACATACATATACATATACACACACACACATACATACACACACACACACAACACACACACACTATAA